CCAGGCAGCGTCAGAGGAGCAGGAAAGCTGATGTTTTGGATCGGGAATTCAGAAATTTCTGAAGAAGGGTCCCGACCCGAAATCTCAGCTTTCCTGCTCCTCTGCTGCCTGGCCTGCTGTGTTCCTCCAGCTCCACACTGTTATCTTTTACTGCTTTTAATAAACTTGGTGAACTGGCAACTTCCAAGGATAGTTTTGAACTGTGGTTACAAATTATGTGAAATAAAATTCCAGCAGTAACTGGATATTTTTCATAAATTAAACTCTCGTCACAAAATCCTTCATGTTACTATTCAGTTAAGAGCAAATTCTATTAACTGTCTTTCTGATGAACTGGTGGCGGCAAGTACTGTTTATTTCTGTGAAACACAAGATATGGTATTTAATGCAGCTTTTAAAAACACAACATCTCTCAAACAGTCAAAATAATGTGAAACACAACTAAAAGTAGTTATGTTTTATATTAAAACACTTTGTGCCAAACGCTTCAAAACCTCACTTGGTCTTTTGGTTGTGGTAATTAGGTAGAAAAATACAAAGCAAATGATTCTGCATAATCTTGCTCTGGGCCCAAGCCTTTTAGATACCATTGTCCACAGCAAGCAAATGTTGATGGAAAGAAAAAAAAGTACACACAAAGAAAGCTAAAACTCATCCTCAGCAAGAAAACAGAAACTCAGTTCTTTCATGTGAAGAAATCTCAAAACTTCAGTATTGGGCATTATCACTAAACTCACATTTCTGTCTACATGAGATAGCTTATTTTCAGGTTATCGTGAGATGGAGGTTTAGAGCAGAAGATGTATCATGTAAAATCATTGCTTTTTTTGCACTAGAAAGTTACAATAATCACAGACTACATTTTATAGCCTAACTTGACATTCATTGAGAAAACTACTTTATGATAGTAAGATAGTTACCTCTATTCCTACCGTGTCCCATACTATATTGTTTTATTTATTTAGGTTCAATAAATCTCTTTTTCTTGTTCTAGTCATTTCATAGTCATTTTGTATTAATTCTCTTTCTATTTTTGTAAACCTTTCTGTAAAAGCTACATTATTGAAATCTGGTTAGCACATAAGCACAATTTTTTTTTCAGAATTCTAAATACAGACATATTCACAAGTACTATTTGCCATTATTCCTAGCTATTTGCTTGGAGCTTAGCTGGGAAACCCACATAAAAGATAATGAAGGATGTATTTTGTTTCTGTTCAGAGACAAAGATTGAAGATCTGTACGCATTTGAGCTACCTAAGAAGGTTTATGAACCGCTGCCACTTGTCCATCATTCACCTTTGATTTATCGATTGACAACGAAAACAGAGACAGTTGGCAAATACATTCCAAGCTATTTTCAGGTATATAAAATAAAATGGCTTGTATCAAAGGTAAGCCGGTAAAAGAACAATGAGTACTGTTGATGGAACTCAAGTGAAATACTAACCCTTTGGCTGCTAGCACTGTGAACAGACAAGGCATCATGATTTGTTGCCTAATAAATTAGAAGGAAAACAAATTATTATCATGCCAGGTTAATCCATTGTTGTGAAAATGAAAGAAAAGAAAGAGAGTTTTAAAAAAAAAACAAACCATGTGATGTCGACTAGGCCTATAAGAATGCTTGGCACGCTCTGTATTCTCCTGGGAGGAAGACAGTGAACAGGATCAGAAACACAAATGAATATACTAAACAGCAAAAACAAGTATTTCAAGTGAATCTACAGTTTATTCTGTGCAGAAAACAAAGCAAAAATATATTTAAGATGTATGTACAAAAATGCTCTGAAGAAGCAAAGCAAACAGTCTATATAAAGACTAGTAGGTTATAGGTTAGAATGTTCGTTAAACCACAAGGCAGTTTTAGCATTTTATTTCTTTAAAATTTGCTTAGCTTAAAAAAGCAACACAATCATTGTCAAATTTATAAACCCTTTAATTCCAATAACAATCCTTCCAACAAATAACAATCAAATTAGCTGCTGCACTTTGTCATGAACTGACTGCAACAGAAACTGTCAACGTACTTGGGAAATTTAATTAGCAATAATCATCTTAACACTCATGCTGATGGGGCTCTCACCTCCATCAATATCTGCCCCAATTTTGGGAAACGGCTGTCAATCAATACACACCATAAGCCTATGATTCTCACTGCTACTCTGACAACACTTCCTCACATCCTGCTTTCTGTTAAAAACTTTTATGACCCAGTTTCTCCATCTTGGTCACGTTTGCTCTGACTATACCATCTTCCCTAGTAGTGCTTTGCCCTAAACCAAGGGTTTCCTTCCACTGTAGCCAACATGGGATCAACAACATCTATCCCATTTCCCACACATCTGCTTTCAACCTTGCCAACCTCTCTAAACCACCCACTCGCCCTCAGTGGAAGCATCGTCTCAGCCTAATACCTCTACCAAGCCTAACTTCACTCATCAGAAGGGACAATAAAGTGTGATTCAATCCACCAAAACTCCCTCCCACATAATGCCTCCTCTCTTCCTATAGTACATTGCCATAAATATTCCGCTTACATTTTTTGCTGATTTAACAGTGTTAACCAGCTTAGATCATAATGTCTTAGATATTGTGGACAGCAGTTTTTTGATATTTCTCACTTTTCCTATTTGCACCTTCTCTAACTTGGGTTCTGAAACGTTTTGGTTGAAGGATGCCTTTTAAAGTGAATTAGCCATGAACCCAATTTTGATATAAAAGGATAAACATCTCGAACACAAAAACTTGTGAATCTAAAGTTTCTGTTAACAGGAATTGTTTAGAGATTTTCAGGCAGTCCAACACTGAGGTGAACATAGGTGGGTTGGTTACATGAAAGCCTCTACATTCCGATTGTTGAAAGGTACCCTTACAAGTTCAGCAATATACCAGCCGAAGATTTCGCTGTGCTTTAACTTTCTGCTCTTCCTAACATGATTTTAGATTCAGTGGCTCTAATGAGGAAAACCACTTCAGGTCCAACTCTTCATAGACTGCCTACTCACCGCAGAGCTGCTGGATGTTTCAGAATGATTCTCCTCTCCCTGTTTAGTGGCTTATCTACACTGGAATATCACTGACATTTTACAATTAGGAGCACAGGAAAAGGAGCAGGCCATTCAGCCCCTCAAGCCTACTCCACTGTTCAGTAAAATCATGGCTGATCTGCAGTCTAACTCTAATATGCCTGCCTTGGGCGCATACCCCTTGATACTTTCACTGAACAAAAATGTTCACATTTAAATTTAACTATCAAATTAACATTGACTGCTGTTTGAGGAAGACAGAGTTCCAAACTTCCACTACTCTTTGCTCATAGAAGTGCTTACTGACATTTCTCCCGAATGGCCTGGCTGTAATTCTTAGACAGTGCCTCCTCATTGTAGGATCTTCAACAGTGGAAGTAGTTTCTCTATCTACCCCTGTTTCTCCCTGTTAATATCCTGAAGAACTTGACTATATCATTCCTTAACCTTCCAGAGAACAAGAGTCTAATTTGTATAATCTCTCCTCATAACCCCTCAAGTCCAGCTATCATCCTTGTGAACTTGCATTAAACTCCCTCCAAGGCCAAAACATCCTTTCTATGACGTGGTGTCCAGATCCGCTCTCAGTACTCTAAGTGGGTCTAACTAGAATTTTGCGTAACTGCAGCATAATGTCTGCATCTGATACTCCAGCCCTTTAGATATGAAGGCCAGCATTCCATTAGCCTGGTTAACTATTTTCTGCACCTATTCGAGGCATTTTAAAAAGCTACATACCTGCACCCTCAAATCTCATTGGACATCCACTATATAACTTCGTAACTCCAAAAACACAAAAAAAAATCCTCATCTATTCATTTTCAGTCTTAAGTAGATAACCTCACACTGGCTCATATTAAAATTTTTCTACTGAAGCGCTGTCTATTCACGTAATCTATCAATATTCTACCATTAAGACACCTCTAGTCATTGCGACACCAGCTTTAATCTGAAACACAGACACAGACCCAGGAGTCTCTCACTCATTGTCATTATAAACTTTTGATTAAGATTGATGTGGTGGTTGCAAATTTACATTCCCAGTAATACATTCCTGGTAGCTCTGGGTTCTCGACTCTCCTCAGAATTCTGTCAGAGGCGCAGCTAATCCAATTACACATCCATTCCTAGAACAATTTAGCCCAATTTCTACAATGGCAATGACTTGCTAATGTCTAGCTGGACAAATGCATCAGGGCTCCAACAGAGAATTTCCTTGGGCACAAACACTTAACTGTGGCAGCCTTGCGGTTGAAAGAAATCAAACTAATATTATGAGCACACAACCTGCAGTATCATATCAATACAACCAATTTAGTTTACCTTGCTGGTCCCCAGATTATCCCACTCAAGCCAAGTGATCTGCGAACCCAATTTGAGAACCATTGTACTTTGCCTTCTGTTTCTTGGTGTGTTCTTTCACCTGTTCCATTTCCTTTATATTAGTATGCCCTTTATTATTTAACCTCTCTTCTCTTTCATGGTGCCTTTCCTGCTTTTGTTTGATGTCCTCCCTCCCTTTTCCAGGCTTCAACTGTCTCTCCAGATAAGGACGATCATGTTCTGAGAAAAATCCAAGTGTCACAGGAAATAGTTGATGGTTGAGAAATTTGTTCATTCACCTCACAAGGCTTGGGTAATTTTAGTCTCTCTAAGGTTTTATTCATAGTATTAAGGTTTACCAACAGTAGTAAAACTTAGATTGGCTGGTGAGCAGTCTTTTATTTTTCAAAACCGGGACATTCAATTGGGGTATGTAGAACAGGTATTCAAACAATAAGAACATGAGCACAGGCAGGACAAGATACATGAAACTTTATTCGTTAACGTAATTAAACAAACATTATAAAGACAGATGAGGAGATGTGTCGCAGCTACAGAATGTGGGAGCTCATGGACATCAAGAGATATAAGACAAACGCATCTGCAACAAATATCTGCAGCTTGAGGAAATCACATCAGTTACTGAGATAGAGGCCAAGCTGCAGATATAGTGATCTGTGGGGGGAAAGTCATGGGTAGGCAAAAACATGGCAGAATGGAATACAATATGAAGAAATCTCAGGTTATCCACTGTGGTGGTAAAACCACAAAGCTGTCCTACTGCAACTATACACAGCCTTGGCAAGATCATAGTGTACAGTTTTGGTCTCTTTACCTAAGAAATGATCTACTTGCCAGAGGGAATGCAACAAAGGATCACCAAAATAATTCCTCAATTGGAGGAATTTTCCTCCAATATAGACTAAGTCTATATTCTATGGACTTCAGAAGAATGAGCGCTGATCTCATTCAAACATACAAAATTCTAATGTGGATCAGCAGGATAGATGCAGGAAGAATATTTCCCTTTCTACCAGTGGGGAGGGGGCAGAATGTGGTGTGGAAGATATCTAGAGGCAAATATCGAAGTCTCAGGATAAAGAGCAGGCCATTCAGGACTAAGGCACAAAGGAATTTCTTCATGCAGTGCGTTGAACTGAATTCTCTGCACCACAGGACTGTGGAGGCCTGGTCGTTGAGTCAGCTGAAGACTGAAAGTGACAGATGAGAAAGATCAAGAAATACAGGCTAGTGCAAGAAATCAGTAGTGAACTATATGATCAGCTACGATCTCACTCAGTAGCAGGATTTTTTTAAAGGCTGAATGGCCTCTTTTTACTCCAATTTCTAACATTCTTATGCTCCCTGGACATTTTGTTTCAAGAAACAGTCACACCCCTTAGGATAGGGTCATCTGATTTGGTCCATAGTCAGGAACAGGAGGGTGTGATTCTAAGCGAGGCTGGTCTGGGATCAAGGTAGCAGAAGAGAGCTTCAAACCTTGCACCTGTCTTGTGGTTATGAGGCTCCTGTTGCCTAACTGAATGAACTGATCATGAATCCAAATAAGTAGGGGAGGTATTATGAAGTAGTTGTAGTCTGGGACAGTATAGATAGTGTATAGCCTGCTGAGGGTGATAGCCTGGAAGATTTACTGTCTGGTGTCAGGGGTCAGGATTACTTCTCATTCAAACTATCCAAATCCATCTGCATCCTCATGACTTTTCATTTCAACTAATTGTAGAAACTTTTGCTATCCATGTTTCCATGCCTAACTCACTGTATCTCAGCCTAATTTCTTCGTAAATATTTTATTCATCATCTGCCTTTTTTTTTATAATTTATCCAATCACTCGATACGCCACTCATCATTACAAAATTTTATGCTTTCTCAAGTTTGATCTTGTCCTTACCAATTCTCCTCCACAGATGCTGCCAGACCTGCTGAGCTTTTCCAGCAACTTTGTTTTTGTTCATGTCTACACAGTTGCCTTACTACTCTTACAGCATTGTAAACTGATTATAAATCTCAATCATATTGCAGTTGCTGCTACCTAGGGACACCCTTACTCTGGAAGCATGAATAAATACTGCCTCATTAAACTAGACTTGGTATTATGTAATCAGCTCTCTGGTTGGTTCCAGAATGGACTGCTCTCAGAACTCTCTGAAAAGCATTTGATGAGCTCCTTTGTCCCGGCTACACTTACAATTTTTCTAGTTTGAAAGTAAATTAAAATTATCCATGATTATTGGCATCACTATATGACAAACAGCCAAGATTTTTCATATTTTGTCCCACTATAACTAAGGAAGTAGGGAGGGCTCAAAACTCAACATTGAAAGTGAGGCAGGAAAGCAAAACAGTGATATGAGAGATGGTTTGTAAAAAAACTGATTCTTGCACAGTTCAGTAGCAGACTGTCAATAGTACAGCTCTCACGTTCCCCAATACGGACGGCAATTATCTATGAACTTCTCTCACCCCAATCTTTGAACCTCACATCTGTTAGAGGATGTGACAACTGGATTCTTGGAAAATTACGGGAGGTCTGAACAGAGTCAAAGTTAATTTTTTTTTGGCAATCCTATTGTTTTGTTTTTGAGGTTGCAATAAGCAGAAGGGTGACCAGTCAGTATGGTGTATTTGGATTTTCAGAAGTTTTTTTGCGAAGATCTCGCACATTACAACAATGGGCTCTGGGTAACATACTGGCAACAGACTGAGAATGGATGACCGGATGAAAACAGTAAATATAGACAAGTCATTCTTAGCTTGACAACTTGTGATGAGTGGGGTTCCTCAGGGATCAGTACTTGTGCCCCAGCTGTTCAAGATCTGTATCGACGATTTGGATATGGGGCCCAAATTCAATACTTTCATGCTTTGGGATCATACAAAACTAGGTGGTTGAGAGTTTTTGACAAAGGGGTTTTTAACAGGCTAAACAGGCAAGATGAAATACAAATGTGAAACATATGAAGTTATTCACTGCGGTGAAAAACAAAAAATGCACAGCATTTCTTAAATGGTGAGGGACTGTGAAGTGCTGACATCCAAAAGAGGCCTTAGCGTTCTCATTGATGTCACTGAAAACTAACATGCCATCACAGCAACAAATAAGGGAGGCAAAAAGGTATGTTTGCATTTACTGCAGGAGGTTTTGTGCATGGGAGTAAAGACTTGCAACACTTTTATACAGCTTTGGAGTAGCTTTTCTTTGTTCATTCACTGCATGCTTTGTGTGTATTTTGGTCTCCTTATTGACCGAAACATAATCCATTTAGTCAACCTCTTTGAACATGTCATGACAGGTGGGATATGACCATGGTCCTGGCCCACAGGCAAGGACACCACCATTAGGACAAAACCCCATACTGCCACTGAGGTAGTGCATCAAAGGCTCACCAGATTGATCATTGCCCAGTTCTGAGAGGAGAATGGGCTTATATTTTCTACAATTTAGAACACTAAGAAGTGATCTCATTGAAACGTCCAAAGAAATTAGAGGGTTTTATGGGGTAAATGCAGAATGGATGTATTCCATGGCAAATGGGTAGAAAGGTTTCACAGACTTCAGCTACACTGTTCAGAGGTGATTAGAGACGGACAACAAATGCTGGCTATGTTTATGATACTCAGATCCCATAAAACAACAAAACCAAAGGCAAATAGAAGACAAAGACCTATGCTAATTTAATCAGGCTCCTTGATGAAATAAAAGGGACTGATCAGGTTGATGATGATGTGGACTTGACCAATAGCAACAACTTATAGATTCATAGGAGTTGTCCAGCATGCAAACATCCTTTGGTGCAACTTGTCCGCACCTGCCAGATACCTGGTGCCACCTGCCAGTATCTGGCCCATATCTCTCCAAACCCCTCCTATTCATGTACCCATCCAGACACCATTTGAAGGTCATTATTGTACCAGCTTCCACTATTTGCTCTGGAAGCTCATTCCATGTACACACCACCCTCTGCATTAAAAGGTTGCCCCTTGGGTCCCTTTTAAATACGTCTCCTCTCACTTTAAACCTATACCCTCTAGTTTTGGACTCCCCTACCCTGGGAAAAACACCTTATCTATTCACCCTATCCATGCCCCTCATGGTTTTATAGACCTCTGCGGTCACTCCTGGGAAAATAGCCTCAGCCTTGCTCGAAAGCTCAAACTCTCCAACCCCAGCAATATTCTTGTAAATCTTTTCTGCACCCTTTCAAGTTTCACTACATCTTTCCAAAGGAGGCAGACTAGAACTGAATGCAATATGCCAAATGTGTCCTCACCAATGTCCTGTACGACCACAAGATGACATCCCAACTTGTTTTGATGCATTGTATTCATCTAATATCTCAAAGTGCATCGCACAAGTGTTATGAAGCAAAATTTGACATCTAGTCACGAGGAGATATTAGGACAGATGACCCAAAAAAGAAACTTAAAGGGAGGAGAGAGAAGAGGACGAGTGTCATGACATAACACTACAGCATCTATTCTAGGCACAGCCAACAAATATTGAACAATTAAAATCAGGCATAATCAAGTCGTCAGCTGTAGAGGACCACATATGTCAGAAGGTGGTGAGGCTGTAGAAGATGAAGAGATAGGACATGCATCGTCATTGAAGGACTTTGGAGCAAAGATACCAGCTTAAAATTGAAGCACTTCTTTACAGACAGCCAAAGTAAGTCAGTGAGCATACAAGTATTAAGTAAAATGGAACATGATTCCAGACATGACACAGGCAATTTTGGATAGCCTCAAGTTTAGGGGGCACTGATTAGCAGTGTGTTGGATAAGTCAAAACGTAGAAGTAACTAAAGAATGCACAGGAACATTTCTCAGTAGACCATGAGCTGAGGGAAAGACACGTTGAGTAATGTTATGGAGGGAGAACTAAGTGAATGAGAAAAAGTAACACAGTAGTCAGCTTAGCTAAATTACTATCAGCAGAATTCAAGTACAATTTTGGATAGATATTTGACTATGATATAGAAATCAAAAATTAATGGTAATGTTCAAACTTTCAGGGTGAAGGGAAATGGTGTTTACCGTAGACTGAAGCAAATGGTGTTAAGAGTGACATCATTATGAATTCATTCTGATGATTAAGCTAAGAAGTCATAGGATAAAGTATTATGCCAGAGTATTTGGTTTAATTCAGCACGAAGGTATGAAAGAAACGTCAAGTTGGAAAGGAAATAGAACCTTGGAATGCATACTTCAGTGAAACCTCAATTAACTACTATTCAAGTATTTAATATTCTCTTCCAAAATTTGAGGTGACATAAATTTGAAGCTGCTGAAGAGAGAATTGTAGATAGGTATCAGTAATGGCTAATTTTTAAATTAGAAGGTTCTCAGGCCCTACTCTGCAAATCCGAATATTAAGTCTCAGCTGACACTTCAGTGTGGCAGTGAGGTGACAACGAAAGGTTGTCCTTTGATTGAATCCTTGAACCAAAACCCACATGCTCTCTTATGTGAGCGACACAATCCTCAGGTAACATGTTTAAGTGAGAGCTCATGTGAAAGCCAAAGCAGAGTATTTCCAGGCTGTTAAACTATGGAATTATTAAACTATGCATTAAGCTGAAAACGATTCAGCTATCAACTATATATCTTCAGCAGTGCCCCCACTTGAGTGAGGAGGCCCACGTTAAAGTCCCACTTGCTCTAGAGGTGTTTAGTAACATTTCCAAACAAGTTGATTTGAAAATAGCCATTTTCAGGGTCAATTAGTACAGGAGATCCTGCCAGGTATTTAACTTCCACCTCACTTGGACAGACAGCCTATTTTTATGCTAATTGTAGCACCTCAGTTTCTGCCCTGATGCAAGTCAAGGCAGTAATTAACATTCACAAATCTGAATCAATGCGTTACGGATCTTTAAGACAGAACAAGCTTAAAAATGAATCAAATAATTACTCTCATATTCCAGAAGCTGGTATTTGCTCCGATTAGATTCTTAGTGGCAGGTCTATAAATAAACTGAAAGCTTATTACTGTCAGCTGAATATCAAGTCCTCGAAAACTAAATTTAACCTTCAATCCTGTTGGGCACTACAAATACTGGAAGGAAAAATTATTCCTTAAACACCCTTGTTGTGCCACTCAGACCTCTGCCTGCAACTGACTGCTTAAAAAAACAAGTGGTCATCAAGATATTAACAGAACTGAAAAAGGGCTATTAGCAAAATGACTGAAGTCACTTTGGGAACTGCCACCATGATTTGGCATTGTTGTGTAAGTACAACAATATCCCTTCTGCCTTATGTCCATATTCTGAATGGCAACTTAGCTGTTTAGACATGTAGGAGTTCACATCTAATGAAACGAGAAATGCCTAAGAACCTCTGCATTTTGCAAAAAAGCTAGCAAGCATGTGGAACAGATTATATGCACACATTGTGGAACAAAAAAGCCTTAATGGATTTCAAGAAATATTAGACAGGTTATCATATAAAGCTCAGATTAGAAATGTTCTAAAAGATACTGTAACTTTGACTCATTTTGTGATGGCTTACTGTGCTGAGTAATTGAATGCTCAAGTTTTAAAACTAAGGAATCATTCCACAAGTTGGTATTCATAACATAAACATGTAAATTATCTGCTCAAATCCTCAACACTAACATCTCTTCTATGGATCAGATAATCTTGTTGATTAAAACCAAGATCCTCATGCCCAAGAGCAGAAATGAGTGACATGTCACAACCTCATGAAAACTTTCATTTGGTTTTATTTGCGCATTTTGTACTGCAACAGCTGAATGCTGCATCTTAGTCACGATATGTCAATCCGTTAGACCAATTAAACCAAAACCAACTTGTTAATTCAGACAAATGTACTATAAATAAGCAGGTGCACTTTTTAAAATGCATGTTAGTAATTAAGCATCAGGTATTAATGCACACCAACACCAGGCACCATACCATCCACTGGTGAATCTCTCCCCACTTCCTACCAGATGAGCGATAAATCTAAAAAGGTAAGGGCAAGAGAAAAAAAATTCCATTTGAGAAATACTCAAGTGTCTAAAGTACCATTAACTCAGATCAATACTAATAGAGAAAACAGAGCTCAGATTCTGTTTCGACAATTCTTCCAAGTTCAGTTTGTGAAAGGTGTGACATCAGTAAGTTATCAAGAGAGATCAATCTTCAGTCTTAGACAAAAGCTGCAGAGGTGGTGAATGGTTTGCAGATGAAATCATTCAAATCAGTTTCAGAAGGTACACAAATCATGAAATCAAGGCTCACACATTATGTCACTAATACAAATGTCAGCATAACAAAAATACAATGAGACAGCATAGACTCAATGGGACAAACAGCACCCTTCTATACTTTAAATAACCCCCATAACTTGAAGAGTATTCAGCTGTACTTGAATACTATTATCTTCCTGTATGAAGGCATTTGTAGCATAGTCATGGCTGCATATGGACAAGGAATCTCTTGTTGCTGAAAATCATGGGACTAGTTGCTACTTCTGCTTGGACAACAGACAATGCAAAAGCGTGCAAGTAATAATTTTAATACACACCGGTAGTATGGTTACCCAAAAAAATAACGTCATGTATTTAACATGTTAACTAGAGCATTGCCAATTTAGTTTAAAGGTTCAGGTTTTCATTGTACAGTTATTTCTGTATTGATAGCTGATCAAATGTGGTACAATTAACTGTCAGTATCACCCAATTATGGCTACACCAAAATTGCCACCTCAAGTCAAATAAATTTCATGACATACATTTGGCACTAATGATAACATCAAGTATCACAACTAAATCACAAAATGTCACATTTCGAGCAAAAACTAATTCAGGACTAGGAGGTGGGAACAGTCAGTATAGACATCCTTATCTCAGTCCCTAAATGGTCTACCCTATATCCTGACACTGTCCCCTGGTTCTAGACTCTCCAAACAGGAAAAATCATCCATGCATCTGGCACATTCAGCCCTGTTAGAATTTTGTACATTTCTCTCCATTGCTAAAATTATTTCAACAAATAAAGCTAACATTGTAAATGAGCATCAGGTTAAACTGCCATAAGTCCAATGCATGAAAACATGAAGCAAGTGCCCAATCGTGATACAGGTTAATCAAAACAAATCAACTTTTGATTTCCAAGAATGGTGAAGGTACCAAAAATCAAAACCAATTCAACCAGTCTGATGGTATAGTTTTCATCACGAAACAACGGAACCTCAAAAATTACATAATTTTCAGCAATCATTTCATAGCACAGGACAGGATAGGAGGCAAAGGAGGGTGGATGCTGGAAATCAATAAACATAAACTGAAGGAACTGAGCAGGTCTAGCAGCATGCATAGACAGTGAAACGTAGCTGACATTGAGTCCAGTATGAATCTTTATCAGAACTGAAGGGTGCTGAAAAATGTTACTTTTCGTACTTTTGACAGAGGCAGAGGTCCAATGCAAAAGACAAAGGGTTGTTACTGGTGGACCAAGAGAAAAAGGATGTAAAAAGGGCATATATTAAATTGAGAAAAGGGACAGATAGGGAAGAGAGAGATCCTCTCTAAGAGCAAGTGAAAACGACTAACAGGACAGGGATGTGCTTCACGTGTGAACCTGTGGGCAGCAAGACAGGGAGAGAATCTAACAAAAACAAACAAACAAGCATAATGGTCAGCTTCTGAAGATGCTGTCAAGTTCCCAAGATGAAAATGAGGTGATCATCTGGTGACCTCCTAGTTGCTTGCCATTTCAACACATCTTTTAAACTCATGCTAACATTTCTGTCCTGCGCCGACTACAATGTTGTCGAGACACACCACCTCATTTTCTGCTTTAAGATTCAAACTCTTGTGAAGCAAGAAATTTCTCCAGTTTCTGGTTGAAGTTGCCTCTACACACAGAGAAACAGAATCACAGAACAAGGTCATTGGCTCATCATGTCCATGCTTGCTCTCTAAGGGTAATATGGGAAGTTTCCAGGCTTTACCCTGAATATTTTCAGGTTTTACTCTGTCCACTTGGTCAGGATCCTTTGTGAACTTGGAACAGGTCAATTAAACTTCCTCTCCAGCTTCTCCTCTAAAGGGGATACCAGCTTCAGAATCTCCAATTTATGTAACTTTTGTAGCCTCTAATATTTATACTCACAGAGTTATAGAGAAGCACAGAACCGAAACAGACTCTTCGGTCCAACTCGTCCATGCTGACCAAATATCCTAGATAAATCTAGTCCTATTTGCCAGCAGTTGGCTCATATCCCTCGAAACCCTTCCTATTCATATACCCATCCAGATGTCTTTTAAATGTTGTAATTATACCGGCCTCCACTACTTCCTCTGGCAGCTCATTCCATACATGCACCATCCTCTGTGTGAAAAAGATGCCCGAGGTCCCTTTTGAACCTTTCCCCTCTCACCTTAAACCACATCCATATCCCTTCTCAAGTGTGGTGCCCAGATTTAGACATAACACTATCAACTTGAGCCTAAATCGATGTTTGGAAATATTTGCTGGAACTTTCTTGTTTTGGTGTTCTATTTGTGAAACCCAAGATACCATATGCCTAGTTATATGCTTTCCACAAATTTTGCCTACCAAGCTTTAATTCTGAGTTACCTGGGCCAGATTTGTTTTCGCACCTTTGAAACGCAACTTTCTGCAATTGATTTTTACTCCAGATCTCCCCCCTCCTCTTCAATTTCTACTCTAAATCTTGTGATGCAGGGCTCACTGATTGCTGAACCTTCTAATACAGAGTTGATTTTCTTGATCCATATCATGTGTAGAACAGATCTAACAAAGCCTCCTTCCTCAATTTTCCTGAAACATGTGTTATAACAAGAATATTCTTAAGAATACACATTCTAATCTCTTACCCATTCTGTACTTCGTTAAATATAGACCGGGATCGCAGTGTCAAGTCCCCCATTCTAATTACTTTTGAGTTTTTGCATTTCTCTCTATTCTCTAACCACCAATCAGTGGTCAAGATATTGATAGTAGAACAAGTCAGCAAGAAATTTATTCTAGCATAACGATGCCACTATTTTTCAAGGCTCTAATATGAAAATTCAACTCTAGACCAATCCAGATAGCTTCATCTCCACACTAATACTCTCTCAATCACTTGTCACCATTCCCCTTTTCTTTCCTTCTCTATCATTTGCTAACACCTTCTACCCAGGAATATTTAGTAGTATCCAGTCCTAACCTCTATGAGCCAGATTTTCAATATCACATGATATTTCCTCCTTACTCTCTACTACTCATTAATGTTAATTGCCACACTTAGTGCATTCACATACACGTACAGTCAACCTAACCTCAATCGCATCGCAATCCCGTTTACTCTTACTATACTTGGAGTTTCAGTTTTTTTTTCCACTCTCGTAGTATGTGCCACTCAATTATTCGTGCACTTTTTGTCTTCTGGCTCCCACTACTGCAGAAGAATCATTTTCGTTCAAAATCAGGTTTGGATACAATTATGCATACATCCAGTTTTGAAGCAACATATATGGTGTCCATTTCATGGTGCAAGATATTTTTTGTTATTTTAAAAAGGTGGTCCTTTGGCAAACTATGCAGCTCTTGTGGTGCATTGGCAGTATCCTACCTTTCAGCATGAGGCAGAGGTTCAAATCCCACCCTTTCCAGGGATGTATAGGTTGATTCGAAAATAGTTTTTATTTGTACCTTGTACTTTGATACACATTTGTTGTAGTCATATTCTGGAAAACCGATGTGTACCAGGCTATTGCCAAAAGTTATTTCTTGGAAGTCTGAGAACTGAAAATATTAAAAAGGTTCTGTGCAGCATTGTGCTTGAGCAAAAGAGCATTCTGTTTCAATCAGCAACTTCATTAAGTTATCTTTGACTCTCCAAAAATTACTTGAATTCATACATGCAAAATGGAAAACATACACATGCTATTTTACGAACATGGAACAAGAGTACATCACTCGGCCCCTTCAAGCCTGCTGTGCCATTCAAGGTAATGGCTGATTTGATTTTAATTTCAACTCTACATTCCTACATATCCCGTATAATTTTTAATCCTCTTGATAATGAAGAATCCGCCTTAAAAAATATTTTAAGACTCTGCATCCACTGCCTTTTGAGGCAGGGAATTCCAAAGATATTCAACCCTCAAAAAAAAAAGTTTCCTCATCTGTTTAAAAGGGTGCCCCCTTATTTTTAAACGAGAATCCTCAGTTGTAGGTTGTCCAAAGAGAAACATGTTTTTGACATCCACCCAGTAAAATCTCCTCAGCATCTTTTATGTTTTAATTAAGTCACCACTGACTCTTCTAAACTCCAGGGATACAAGCCAAGCCTGTCTTACCTCCCCTCAAGGCTTGTGGGTATTCGTATAGTAAACTTGTTTTAATTGCTTCCAATGCATTAACATCTTTCAGAGTACAGTGACCAGTAGTGTACACGGTACTCCAGGTATGGTCTCATTGACGTCCTGCATAACTGAAGCATAACCTTCCTATTCTTGCATTCAATTCCTTCATAATAAAGCATAACATTTTATTAGCTTACTTTTGCTTTCATTCCAACTCTTGGAATATTAGCCTAGCAGGTTATTTGTTGTACACTAGTCACACAGTGCATTTTTTTCAAAGCATATCCAAACTGAATGAGTAAAAGACTTGCTTCCATTAATAACGAGCAACATTTTTGAATAACACCTTCAGACATCTTATACTGAATGCAAACACTAAACTTATTTACAATGTAAGGACTTGCCCAAGAAAGTAATATTTGCATATATATACACCAGTCGATGTAATCTATAATGTTCAATAATCCTCCACAATTCACCATGCAAACTGAACGGAACAAATACTCGCTTCTGTTTACAATAGCAATTTCAGCTATACTGCGCCGAATGCAATAATCTGCAATGTCAAGAGTCCTCCACTGTTCTCCAGCCCATATGTTGTAGTTTGAGAGTAAAACTTATCTTATTGTACCCACTGATATGGTAAGTTACATTTGTAGGTATGCAAAATTTATAATTTTAAAATAAAAGACTGGTCATCCCGATGTGTCAGCATGGAAACAAAGACACTTAAATGGAGACTACCACATGGTTCAGCACTATTCTGTCCTGGAAATTCAAACTACACAGAATAAACTGTGTCAATAGGGCAGAATTGCAAAAGAACATTATCGGTTTCTGATTCCCAATAGTTATCACTGACTGTAGAACGAACCCGTCTCTGCGTGGGTTTCCTCTGGATGCTCTGGCTTCCTCCCACAGTCCAAAGGTTAGGGGAATTAGCCATGCTAAATTACCCATAGTGTTCAGGGATGTGTAGATTAGGTGGTTTACAAGGGGACGTTCTGAGGAAGGGTCACCGGACCCGAAACGTTAACTCTGTTTTCTCCTCCACAGATGCTGCCAGACCTGCTGAGCTTTTCCAGCAACTTTGTTTTTGTTACAAGGGGACGGGTCTGGGTGGGATGCTCTGAGGTTCGGTGTGGACTCGTGGTACTGGAGTGCCTGCTTCCACTCTGTAGGGATTCTATGATCTAAGATGAAGCATGCTGAAATTTTGTGTTATATGTCCTGATTGATAAGAACTAATTTAGGAACAGCGTATCATCTTTGAGTTGTTATCGGCTATTTATGATGGAAAATGGTTTCACATAAGAGGGTGAAAGCAGTGACTCAAAGTGTTTGCTAGTCTCCGTAATGGCACTGTAGCAGTTGAACAAGCATTATGCCTTTTGAGCTGGCTGTGCAAATTTGAGTTGAATGGAAAAGGTGAAAATAAAAACCATAGCCACAAGTTCAAACCTTAAATTATTCCCTCTATGTTGCATTTTCTACACTACTAAGTTGGCAACATTCTGCTAAGTGAAGGAACATTTGTATTCTGCGAGTTAACAAATACACAGAAAGGCTTCTGACTGATGCGGTTTCTCATAAATCACAGCTGACTTTGTGCTTCCAATCACAACTAAGCGGGTGGAGAAAGTGAAGCCTAAAGCTAAACCTGCCATTCTAGATCTCTGTTAATCTCATGTATTGCTACAAGTAAGACCAGAAAGACTTATGATAGACACCATAGATTTACCTGCAGCTCACATTAACACATTTTCATGGAAGGGATAAAAAAAATCATGTGTGCGCGAGCTTACTGATTTGGTTCAACAAGGTCTTTGTCTTCCTGTCTCAGACCAACAGAGCTTCACTTCTACTTTAAGTGACTGCCTGAAGTGTGTACATGTTTTTCTTGGTCATCAGCTCAGTGTTTCCTCCAGCACTCAGAAACTACACATTTCAACACGATTACGTTTGCTTGTACCTCTTTTTGCTGTCGCTCCAGTTCTTTCATTCGGATATCTCGAGCTTCTGCTCGGGCTGCCCGCTTAGCTGCAAGCCTGGCTTCTGCCTACAAAAAGTAAATTTAAATTTGTTAGCTCTGTGCTATGCAGTAGCAGAAAAACAAGGAGAAAACAGAAGAGTTCACATGTGTCACATTACATAATAATCTATTTGTACTGAAAGCAGTTTCCAGGATGTGTAAAGCAGTGCTTCCCAACATTTCTCCCCCCGCACTGTGACCTCATTTTGAGGCTTCAAATTTGTTACACAAGGAGCTGGTGAAGATGATCTTGGAGTGCTGGAGGTAAGCAGACCCCCCACTATCAGAAACCTTGGTCTAAAATTTCAAACCTCATTTGCAATTCCAAGCTAATTTGAAAATGAAAAATTATGATACATTGTAATCAGCCATTGGAATTTAAATTATGACAGATCAAAATGCACTCAACATCTAGTATTGAGAGAAATCGGGTCTGAACAGATGTGACATTCAACTTGGATTACTTTTGGTTAACTGCTGGTAGCAATTTTAACATATCAGAAGACACAGAGCTGCTTTATAATTTGTGCAAGACATACAGAAAAACATCTTAAATCATTTCTTTATTGTGGGGCTAAGAGTGTATAATTTTAAAACTAGCATTAAAATATTTGGTCCGGGAACAGCGGGGCTTGATTTACAGGTGTGCTGCCCCAATGGGTCATAATACTCCAACACTTCCTTCATTGAATCAATTTACAATAACGCTCCAGCTGATGGTAAGGCCAAGGAGGGGGAAAATTGAGATGGAACTATGTTCTGCTGATATCTTTAATCAGAGCAGCCTCCACAACCACAAATATCCAGGTTTAAATTATTTATATCTTTGGTTTTTTTTTTCCTTAACACTACTGTGCACTCAGCTTGAAGACACAGGACAAAAGTTTTAAATGCAGCTTCAGGGTTTTACAGCCACTACTAATAGTGGAGACAAAAAGCAGCACGTGTGATACTATCTCAACAACTTTGACACACAGTGCATGTTGCATTCAGTTTAAGGCCACTTTGCATGACCACAAAGACAGAGGGCAGACTGCCACTCAAGATGCTATTACCTGTTAAAGCCAACAAGTGATGCTCCATTTTTTAAGACATTAAAGTTGTACCAAGTCAGTGAAGTAAAACCACTTACAAGGAGAACGTGATGGAAAATAAAATGAACTGAACACCCGGCTTTGCAGGGATACAGCAAATTTCATGTCAAATTTATGCATGAAACAACTGGGCAGCTCAAGAGGTTGGCAAAGTGTAGTGCTTTGATGTTTCCTCACGATTTCTGCTCAGTTATCAGTGCGAACTAGTCCGAGTTGCCGACTCAAGAATTAATTTATCCTTCGTAGTGCTCACTTACAAAATTGGCCTCATGTAGAAGTCAGAAAAGTGAACATTCTGTCAGTTCATTTTCTTGTAAAAGCACACATACACTAAATTCTAAATTAGAGCACCTTCAGTCCATGACCAACACATTTGCGATTAGACAAATATCCATGGAGTTGCAATCCAACATTAATTACCTGTATCGTTACTGACTAACAATCATTTCAGAATGGATTCACGTCAGTTTAAATTGAATAAATTGATCTACCCTGGCTAACTAAGACCCGGAGAAATATTTTTTAACTGAGCAGTTCAGGAACATTATTACACATCTCTGGAATAATTGGGTCTTGAACCAGAGAAGGTTTATAAGAATGATCTTGGGGATGAAAGGCTTGTCATATGAGCAGTTGAGGACTCTAGGTGTACTCAATGAAGTTTAGAAGGATAATGGAGTATCTCATTCAAATGTACAGAATACTGAGATCCCTGGATAGACTGGATGTAGAGGAGATGTTTCCACTAGAAGAGACTAAGACCCAAAGGCACATCCTCAGAATGAAAGGATGACTCTTTAGAACTGAGATGAGAAATTTCTTCATTCAAGGGTGGTTGATCTGTGGAACTCATTGCCAGAGGGCTGTGGAGCTTAGACATTGATTGTACTTAATACAGGGAGAGATCGGTTCTTGATTGGTAAGGGGTCCAAGGGTTAAAGCGATAAGGTAGGAGGAAATAGGTTGAGAAGCATATCAGCTATTATCGAAAGGAAGACCAGACATGATGGGCCAAATGGCCCAATTATGCCCCTACATTTTATGTCTTAATTGCTAAGATGTTTGCTTTTTACTTGAACTCAAGGATAAGTTAGGAGGAATTGAAGCTTTCTCCTTATATTAAACTAGTGGAGGACATGAAATGAGGAAGAAACAAAGACTCTGCCAAGAGACAAGCTCAGCAAGGAGGCAACAACTTGACAGATAGAATTTAAATGTGGAGAAGCCTCAGCTTATTCATTTTAGTCAATAGAAAAAAAATCTCAAAAAAAAAAGTGTAAAACCTGTGAATGATCATGTACAAAACTTGGGTGCGCTTGTCTAAGAAGCACAAGACTAGCATGCAGGTACAGCAAGCAAGTGAATCAGAATCACACAATACAGGAGCTACACTAAATCTACATGAGTCTCACAGCCTTGAACGTTGACATTTCAAGTGCTCATCCAAGTACTTTTGAGACAGCAAACAGCATGTTGGCCCTTATTGCAAGCGGTTTGGAGGACAGGTATAAAGTAGTCTTGTTGTGCATGGAAGAAAGATGCTAGATATGGTCCTGTGTAATGAGACAGGAATAATTAATGACCTCATAGTTAGGGATCCTCTTGGAAGGAGTGATCACAGTATGGTTGAATTTAGAATACAGATGGAGAGTGTGAAGATAAAATCCAATACCAGGGTCCTGTGCTTGAACAAGGGGAACTACAATAGAATGAGGGAGGACTTGGCTAAAGTAAACTGAAAACAAAGATTTTATGGTGGGACAGTTGACGAGCAGTGGAGGACTTTCAAAGCAATCTTTCAAAGTGCTCAGCAAAAGTATATTCCAATGAAAAGGAAGGACTGTAAGAAAAGGGGTAATCTGCCATGGGTGTCTAAAGAAATAAGGGAGGCTATCAAATTGAAAGAGAAGGCATACAAAGTGGCCAAAAACAGCATGAAACTAGAAGATTGGGAAAACTTTAAAGGTCAACAGAAAGCCACAAAAAGAGCTAAGGAAAAGTAAGATAGAACATGAGAAAAAACTAGCACAGAATATAAAGACAGATAGGAAAAGTTTCGTTTTATATATTTATAGAAAAAGAGTGGCTAAAGTAAACGTTGGCCCTTTACAGCATGAGAAGGAGAATTTAGTTATGGGACACGATGAGATGGCCGAGGCATTGAACAGGCATTTTGTATTGGTCTTCACAGTGGAGGACACTAATAACATGCCAGTAATAGACAAAGAGACGAAGGTAGGTGAGGACCTGGAAACAATCATTATTACGGAAGAGGTAGTGTTGGGCAAGCTAATGGAGCTAAGGATTGATAAGTCTCCTGGCCCTGATGGAATGCATCGCAGGGTACTAAAAGAGATGGTGGGAGAAATAGCAGGTGCACTGGCGGTAATTTTCCAAAATTCGCTGGACTCTGGGGCAGGCCCAGCAGATTGGAAAACAGCAAATGTGACGCCACTGTTTAAAAAGGAAAGTAGACAAAAGATGGGGAATTATAGACCAGTTAGCTTAACCTCTGTAGTGGGGAAGATGCTGGAGTCTATTATCAAGGAAGAAATAGCAAGGCATCTTGATAGAAATTGTCCCGTTGGGCAGACGCAGCATGCGTTCATGAAGGGCAGGTCATGCTTGACAAATCTTTTGGAATTCTATGAAGACATTACGAGCGAGGTGGACAATGGGGACCCAGTGGATGTGGTGTACTTAGACTTCCAAAAGGCCTTTGACAAGGTGCCGCACAAGAGGCTACTGCATAAGATAAGGATGCATGGCATTAAGGGTCAAGTATTAGCATGGATAGAGGATTGGTTGACTAACAGGAAGTAAAGAGTAGGGATAAATGAGTGCTATTCTAGCTGGCAGTCAGTGACTAGTGGTGTGCCTCAGGGATCGGTGTTGGGACCGCAATTATTTACAATTTATATAGATGATTTGGAGTTGGGGACCACGTGTAGGGTGTCAAAGTTTGCAGACGACACTAAGATGAGTGGCAGAGCAAAGTGTGCAGAGGACTGTGAAACTTTGCAGAGGAACATAGATACATTGAGTGAGTGGGCAAAGGTCTGGCAGATGGAATACAACGTAAATAAATGTGAAGTCATACATTTTGGTAGGAGTAATAGTAAAAAGGATTATTACTTGAATGGTAAAAAGTTGCGTGATGCTGCTATGCAGAGGAACCTGGGTGTCCTTGTGCATGAATCACAGAAGGTAGGTCTGCAGGTACAACAAGTAATTAGGAAGGTAAATGGAATTTTGTCCTTCATTGCTAAAGGGATTGAAATAAAAAGCAGAGAGGTTATGTTGCAGCTGTACAAGGTGCTGGTGAGGCCACACCTGGAGTACTGTGTGCAGTTTTGGTCTCCTTACTTGAGAAAGGATGTACTGGCACTGGAGGGGGTGCAAAGGAGGTTCACTAGGTTGATTCCAGAGTAGAGGGGGTTGGCTTATAAGGAGAGACTAAGTAGATTGGGATTATATTCACTGGAATTCAGAAGATTGAGGGGGGATCTTGTAGAAACATATAAAATTATGAAGGGAATAGATAAGATAGAAGTAGAGAGGATGTTTCCACTGGCAGGTGAAGCTGGGACAAGGGGGCATAGCCTCAAGATTAGAGGGAGCAGATTTAGGACTGAACTGAGAAGGAATTTCTTCACCCAGAGGGTTGTTAATCTATGGAATTCCTTGTCCAGTGAAGTAGTTGACACTACTTCAGTAAATGCTTTTAAAAAAAAAGTAGATTTTTTTTGAACAATAAAGGAATTAAGGGATACGGTGAGAACGCAGGTAAGTGGATCTGAGTCCACGAAAGGATCAGCCATGATCTTATTGAATGGCGGAGCAGGCTCGAAGGGCCAGACGGCCTACTCCTGCTCCTAGTTCTTATGTTCTTATGTATGTTCTTTGCTCCAATCATACAGGGTACTGGTGAAAACAAATCTGTACTACCAGGACATGCACACACAAATTAGGAGTAGGCCATTTGTACTCAAGCCTGCTCTGCCATTCACTAAGGCCGTGGGCGATCAGAACTGTAGCCTCAACTCGGCATTCCTACCTACCCACAATATGCTGTGACTTCATTGTTATGAAGTCAAGCATCTATCCCCACAGCCTCAAAAATATTTATGACTGTGTCTTTTTGTTCTGGAGAAGACACTTCCATAGGCTCACGACCTTTACAGAAATAATTCCTCCTTGCCTTTATATAAAATGAGAAACCAATTTTTAAACTGTATTGACTTATTCTTGGGTTTAAGGGCTTATCTTATGAAGAAAGCTTCAATGGATGAGGACGCCATCCATTGGAGTTTAGAAAAAAAAAATCAGTAAACATTCTCATTTAAACACAAGTTCTTGACAAGACGGAGATAATAGGAACTGCAGATGCTGGAGAATCTGAGACAACAAGGCATAGAGCTGGATGAACACAGCAGGCCAAGCAGCATCATAGGAGCAGGAAGGCTGACGTTTCAGGCCTAGGCCCTTCTTCAGAAAATTCTGAAGCTATTTTCTGAGGAAGGGTCTAGGCCCGAAACGTCAGCCTTCCTGCTCCTATGATGCTGCTTGGCCTGCTGTGTTCATCCAGCTCTACGCCTTGTTGTCTCTCTTCGTGACAAGACGTCAGTTTGGATACTCGGAGACAACACAGCGTGGAGCTGGAGGAACACAGCAGGCCAGATAGCAGAGGAACAGGAAAGTTGACGTATTGAGTCAGGACCCTTCTTCAGAAATGGCCCACTGTGTTCCTCCAGCTCCATACTGTGTTGTCTCTGACTCCAGCATCTCCAGTTCTAGCTGAGTGATTTGGGTACTCGGACCTTTTTTTTGGTGGGGGAAGGGAGATGTTTGGGGGTGGGGAGGATGAAGAGACTAGAACTAGATGACATTGTTTAAGAATAAAGGGTGGCCCTTTCCAAAGGGTGCTGAGTTGTTTCTTTCCTCTCTCCAAGGTCTGAGCCAGTTTTTTTCTCACCCCATGCGTGACCCTCTTTTTAAGGGTCATTTGAGTGTGGAAATAAAGAAGAAGCTAGGTCTTCAATTTCACTTCAGCTCAGTTAGATAGACTTTTGATAGAAAGGGCAGAGTGTACACAAGAAAAGAGAGCTCAGGCCATAACTAGATCAACTATGAACTTATTCAATGGGCGAGCAGGCTCAAAGAGTAGAACAGCATACTCCTGCTCCTATTCTAATGTCTCCTAAAGCTAGTCTGTCAACAAGGGGAGGATATCCTTTCAGCATCCATCCTGTCAAGTCCCCACAGGATGTCAGATGATCCAGTAAAAGCACATCTCAACGCTTCTAATGCAGGGTCAACTGTCCAACCTATCCTCAAAAGCAAACTCCTTCATAACAGTAATCAGTTGGGTGAACGTTCTAATGCAATTATGTCCTTTCTTAACAAGGGAACAAGATAGGATCTCATTCGTGCCCTGTACAACAATGGCATACAAATGGGTCAGGATTTTTGCTATTCGCCTTGCAATTTACTTTACTTTCCCAAATCACTTGGTATGGTATACTTGCATACTAACTTACCGAGTCCAGGTATCCTTTGAGCCTGCTGTATGTGTAGACTGGGTGGAAAAGTAGAATCAAGGCAGGTCAGGCATGACCACATTGAACAGCAATGCAGACTTGGGGCCCAGTACAGTGTATTCCTGTTCCATTCTTATTATAGTAATGAAGTTCATGAAGGAAAAGATTAAGTACTAAAATGACGTACCACTGCTGGTATGTGTCCTTTGTGCATCTTGACAGATAAGACTGCTGGAAGACATTGCTCAAAGTGGAGGATAATTTGGAAAACAGGATACTTCGTCTGTCTGGATCCGTGAGATGGGTTTGGTGGCTCAGTGGTCAGCACTGTGGCACATTGTCAAGGACCTGGGTTCAATTCCACCCTTAGGCAACTGTCTGCGTGGAGTTTGTACATTCTCCATGTCTGCATGGATTTCCTCCCACAGTCCAAACATGTGCTGTTTCAGTGGATTAGCCATGCTAAATTATCTGTAGCGTTTAGGGATGTATAGGTTGGGTGGATTAGCAATAGAAGGCGCAGGGCTACGGGAGTCTGGGAAGGATGCTGTCTGGAGCATCAGTGCAGATTCGATGGGCCGAGTGACTTGCTTCCACATTGTGGAATCCATACAATGAGCTATGGAAAAAAAGTTAGCAGGGTACAGCACAAATACCTTGATTGTAAAGGATGGCAACTTAGCAATTATTTTGACAGGTTTCAAAGACTGAAGCAATAACAACTCAACTTACATCAACTAAAGGCAGAAATGTACCATGCATCAAATTTGTGAGCATTTAGAGGTTAATGGACCAATCAAACCAAGACAACAGGAATTTAAATGTTCTAAAAATTGTCTCTCTCTCAGATTTGGTCACTACTTTGATTTGGAGAATGCCTTTGAACAGGAAAAAAGATTGAGAGGTTGGAAGCAGCATACCTCAAGGAACAGTGCACTTTTGTTCACCACTATTATACACATACCACTCACATTGTTCAATATTCAAATTTATGAGAATTGTGGCTAACTTCATAAAGAAACAGACCATGACCATCTAAACATGTACCAAATTCAAAATAAATCAAAATATTAATATCAAAGCAAAATACTGCACCTGTTCAGAAATATGAAATACAAATATCAAATGCAAATGCACAGGTCAAGGAACATATACAGGAGAGAGGAACCAAGTTAACATTTCAGATTAATGAAACTCTTCCAACATTCCCAAGAACTCTTCCCCACACAAGAGCCAGTAGCACAACATCAGCAATTTTTACCTCTTACATACAGACAGTCTAGTGTTCCAACCACGCTTCAAATGATTTACTCCTACTAATTTCTATTTAGAATACTGCATTCACGTTGATGATACAGTCAGTTATATAGAATGGAAACAGGACCTTTGGCCCAACCCCGCCAAATTGAGCAGGTTTCCTAAACCGAACTTGTCCCATTTGCCCGAGTTTGGCCCATATCCCTCTACACCTTTCCTATTCATTTCACTGTCTAAATGTCTTTTAAATGCTGTAATTGTACCCACCTCTCCCACTTCCTCTGGCTTTAGGGAATACCTCCAACCCTTCTGCAAGTATGACTGTTTCGTCTCCCCACCTGCCTTTCTATCCTCAGCCTCCACCACTGTTCCAATGAAGCTCAATGTGAGCTCTAAGAAGACACTTCATTTTTCAATTAAAAGATGCCCGGCCATTTGCACTCAATGTTTTCGACAATTTCAGATCATGACAGCTGTGATAATGTGTTTCTTCTGTTTCCATTTACATCTCAAAATCTAGGGCATTTTTTAAAAACTCGTTTACATCTTTTACCTTACAACAGCAACTTTTTACAAAGTTTAATTTCATTTGCCTTCCACCCAATCACAACTTGAAGTTTGTTTATAGCTACCCCTGCTGTATTTCTAAATACATCCCATTCTGTAAGGTTATGAATCTGAAATGTTAACTTTATTCCTCTCTCCAACAGTGCTGCCCTACCTGCATTGCTTGCTTCAAACAAAAAAGGCACAACATTTTGAGGAAAAATGAGGAATGGAAGCTCATTGCAAAAGCATGGAATTTTTTGGAGGAACAGAGAAATTAAGAGCACAAACACTTTTATTAAAAAATCAACAGTAAGTTGATTAAAAGTTCAAAAGGTGAGAGCTACAAATAAATTTAACTAAGTTAGTAGCTTTTTTTTTATATAAAATCCAATAAGAAAAACAGACCCAATAAGAAAGTTCTTTTAATCGGTCAAATTAACAAAGTTTAAAATGGTTAGTGGCATGTTGGATTTTATAGGTGATATTAACCTTTACAGCACATACATTTTGGGAATTTCTTTAAGTTTAGCAAAATGAAATAAGTCACACAACCTGTGCTGAAGTTTGCCTGAGCAAGCCTAGGTGGTTTGCTTGTTAGAGATTAAAGAGGACCCAAACTGTTTTGCTGGGTAGAAGATTTGAAGTATATATGCTTTAAGACAATGGTAGCATCTTGCATGCTAACAATGGATTCTAAGACTGCTAAGTCCCATAAAAAATTTGAGAATGTCGGGCTGTAAACAATTGTGCTTTAAACTGTTCATTTTGTTCCAAATTGAGACAGTCAAGTTTTCAAGGACAGCCTATCAGGATTTCAACCGAGGGACACAGGCTACATTGTCATGGGGATGAAATTCAAGAGGAAAAAGGCTAATAAAATATCCCTG